CTCCAGATGCGCGGCAGCAGTCCTGACTGCGCACGATGCGGAAAGCTTGTATCAGGTTCTCACGTAGCTGTCTGAAACTCAAAGAAAGAGGTCAAGATTAACTAATCATGTTTCGTACGGTAGTGACCACTGCCTAGATACAAGTTTCGTTGTTCGCCATTGAACTTGTTCGAGTATGTCGAGGTCTGTAGCGGTCCAGGGTCTCCATGGTTGGAAAGCGAACTCCAGATGCGGTCGCACAAAATTTGGAAAGATCTTGGCGAAACAGTCTTCATCGAAGGAGGAGAACGTCCGTTTGACGAGGTATAAAATGGACATCGCCGACTTGGCTACCTTTGAGCATTGCAGTGAAGGCTTAAGCGAGGTTGTGATTCAAACACCCTAGTCCTTCTGGACGTCCACGTTTTGCAGTGGTTTGCCAGTCAGACGATAGACCGTGCGGTAAGGTGTTCCGAAATTCTACCACTGGATAAGTCAGATATATCTTTATATTAACCAACTCTTGAATGAAAATGAGACTGGTGGGGTGAGTCTGCTCACTCTGACAGCCTAGAATGTTCGTTCCCTTCTAGGCAATCCGAAGAGCAACCGACCGCAACGGAGAACGACGCTAATGACTCGGGAACTGCCGTACTACAAGGTGGAAATCGCTGCACTCAATGAAGCCCGGTTCTCCGAACAAAGCTAACTGGAGGAGGTAGGTGCTGGCCACACCTTCTTCTGGAGCGGTCGTCCCAAGACAGAGTGAAGAGACGCGGGCGTCGTGTGACGACTGCCCTATCTGCCGCAGAACATTAACGATCGTCTGGTGACCTTCGCCTGCCCCTCCAGGGAGGTGAATCTGCCAACGTCGTCAGTGTCTACGCTCCCCTAATTACCAGCCCGACGAAGAGAGAAACAAATTCTACACCCTGGCCGCCCTTCTGGCAGCTCCGCTGAAGGCGGGCAAGTTGATTGTCCTTGTGCCCGTGTCCGCACAGACCGTGCTACTTGGAGAGGAGTGCTGATTCCCCATGATTTCGATGGCCATAAAGTCAATGGCCTGCTCCTCCTATCAACCTGCGCAGAACACCGGCTCATCCTGAGAAGGCCACCTGGATGCACCCTCGGTCGAGACACTGGCACCCGCCGGACTATGTCCTCACCCGGAGGCGAGACCAGTAGAACGTGCTGGTGAGAAAAGCGATTCTGGGTGCTGGCGAGCGGATCGACCATCGCCTCGTCAACTCCGAGATGCGGATTTGTCTGTAACCTTGATGGAGACCTCAAGTTAAGCGAGCCCCAGGTAAGCTGAATATTGTTGTTTTTTCCATCTCACCACCTCCATTTCAGCAACAAGCTAGCTCAACGGCTAGTCAACGCTCCAGTCGCTGTCGTCGCCGCCGCCATCGAGGAGACACCGTGGAGAACCCATGGTGTCAACTGTGGGACACAGTGCAGTCGACGGCACTGGCTGACCTCGGTCGCGCACGTCGCTGACGTCAGGACTGGTTCGATGAAAACGACGCCGTCGTCAACAACACACTCGCCACGAAGAACCGCCTACAAAAGCTTACGTAAACCGCTCCACCAACGACAAAAAAGCGGTCTTCTACTGAAGTCGCCGCCTTATTCAACAGAGGCTGCGCGAGAAGCAGGACACATGGACGGCCCGCAAGCTGCGGACCGCAACGAATGGAAGAATTGCTTCTCTACGATAAAGGCTGCCTACGGTACGCCAATCAAAGGAACTGCTCCTCTTCTCAGCGTGGACGGCGGTACCCTACTCACCGAGACGGCACACGTGCTACAGCGTTGGGCCGAGCACTTCCAAAGCGTCATAAACCGTCCCTTTACCATCTCGGATGTCGCCATCTTCCGTCTGTGTCAAGTGGAGATTTACTTCGACCTCGACCTTCCGCGCTTTCTACACGAAATCATCAGGGCCGTAAAGCAGCTCTCTAGCGGGAAAGCGCCTGGATCGGACGCGATCCCCGCTGAGATCTACAAGCACGATGGTCGCCACCTTATGGATCATCTGACGGCGCTCCTCCAGGAGATGGAACGTCAAGGAGTCCCACTGGGTTTCTGGGACGTCACAATTATACGCCTCTACAAGCGGAAAGGAAGTCATCAAATCTACGGCAACCACCCTGCTAAACAATTATCGGAGCACATGCCGTGACTGTCCAGTGGACTGGAAGACGTCTTAGCTCGCGAATAACGGGGCACAAACGGGCAGTTCGGAGAGGCGATCCACTGTCTCAGGTCGCTACTTACACCCTGGAGAAAGGCCACAAATTCAGCTTCGCGAGCACGTGGAGAATGGCGCGGGCCAGCAATATGACAGGGCGAGTACTCCTGGGGGCCTGGGTGTCTGACACCAACTCCAGTAACACACACGTTGGCATACCGCCCCCCCCCAACCCCCGGCTATCACGCGTTCCGTTCACGAGGCCAAGAGGCGAGACACAATTCGCAGCCAACGGTACATGCAGTCACGCCGAGGTGAGACGGTGTGGACTCAGCCTTATCATGAACACCACCCCCTCCACTCCTATCCCGCCCTTCTCATTGGACGCCGCGCTCTCACAGTCTCTGCCGATAGCCTCCTGTGTGAGACCGAAAGCTCACACTAATGCACCTAATGTCCTAATGGTAGCGCGTTAAGCTTCGTTGCAGCAGGCCAAAACAATTTAGGAATTTGAATCTCAAATCGCATTTCTAAACTTGCTTTTTTGTCTGGAGGACGTGTATACTAACGATTTTTGTGATAATCCCCAACCAGATTAGACTCGTTTACATAATTTGCCAGCCTATTGTCGTCTAGGTCGTGTTATGGAAAATTAATTGAAATTTTTCGATAAAATTCTATTCGCTCTATTTTCTAAATTGCACAGATTCACGACGATTATCCAGCCACAGTTATAGAATGGAGACAAGTATGAGGTCCTACTTTTTCCATGTGGGAAAGAAGAACGTACTATCACCGGACTGTGACCTCGATAGACGGATGAAGGCAAGTGCGACAAATTGACAGAACACTAGCTGGGTTCTCTATATTGCATAAAGATCATGGACCCAATTTCCTTCTTCGCGGAAATGCTACCTTCATCAAGAGTGCTCAAGGATCTCCATTAGCCTGATCGCCCATTCCTCGCTGACACACGGAGACAAACGCTCCTACATGACCAAATTATGATATCATTCGACGTGTTGTCACTATTCATATAAATCCTAGTAGACACCCTGCGCGATGATCTACGCAAAAGTTTCCAAGACTAACCTAAGAGTCTCCAAGAATCGAGCGTCTAATGAAACGCCTTGTCTTTATTCAGTGAACATTTTCCACATCCACTGACAGAAGGTGCAAACAACTTAAATGAACGCCGATAGTTTGCCCATTCTCCAACCCCGTTAAATAATTGTTCCTGCAAGGGCTAGCAAAGGTCGTTCTGAACAACTACAAGCCTGTGTTTGAGTACCTTCAAATAAACGGCACGCCAGTTATTATTGAGAGGAGAGATTATCGGGCTTTCAGGAGCTGATTAACAACATCTTTCGGCATTCAATTCACATACAGCAACGTTCGGCCTGGATATCCATCATAATCCAGTAGCTGTCATGTGCGGCAATAATGCACCAATGGACTCGGGCATGCAACGGAGTGTGCTGCAGGTCCGACCATGCCAGCCAAATGCACCCTCTCCCGCCCCCTGTCTTGACGATGTCTAAACGCCGGTTTCTGGTGGGGATGAGGAAGTATGGTAGATGCTGCGAAAGTCCACTCTCACAAGAGACTAACTCATGCACAAGGCATCGTTCCTGCTTCAACTTACTTTGGGGTACATTATATACATTGCCTGGTACGACGGTCGAATTGTCAGAACTCGGCCAGTGCTCTGTGCGTTGGTTTCATTTGCCTTCATTCGTCCATCGAGATCACAGTCCGGTGATCGCACGCTCTCCTTTTCTACATCGAGAAACTGGAACTTCGAAACCCCTCTCCATCTTACAAAATATGTCGGCTTTAAATGAGCACACGCTGATCCTTGAGGAGAGAGCCATAGTAATTCAGGAAGTGTGCCACACGTCCAGGAGCATAATAAAGTTTTCGACTATCGTCTTGAATTTATGCCATTTGGAAATCTGAACGGATTGAATTTACAACTATGCGAGGGAAACAAAGTTTGGGAAGACTTGTGAGAACGTTTGTGCTTGCTTAACTGCGCTCAGTTTGTAGTCCACATAGGTTATGGAAAAACTGCGTGATTGCAGTCTGTAGTAAGTACTTGTCTAGAATTGTGCAATGACCAGAGCATATTATTGACAACTATCAATTAACGTAATGGACAAACGGCGTGATTGCAGCTTCACAGCTGGAGTAAGTATTTGTCGAGAATTGTACAATAACCCGAGCACATTATGAACAACTTCCAAGTAACTTTCCACAGCACTACCCAGACGACAATAGGCTGACTAATTATGTAAACGGGTTTAATCTAGTCGAGGATTGTCACAAAAGTCGTCAGCGCACACGTCTTCTAAGAAAAGTTGGTGCAAAAATATGAACTGCAGATGTCAGTGGATGGGGAAAAAGTTCACCGACAAGATAAGATGCGTTTCATCCGACGTTTAATTTTAACAGACCTCTCAGGTTAGTCTTGAAACCTGGTTTCTAGATCTTGTCCAAATTCTTTCCTCGGCCAACCATCACCCTGTGAGATAGTCTCACCTTCAGCCTAGTCAAGGTAATTCCCCGAAAATTCAACCTTCATCAAGAGTGATCAGGGATCTCTATCAACTTGGTTGCCCATTCCTCGCTGACACTTGGTGACAAACGCTCCTAACCGACCAATTTGTGGTATCATTCGACATGTTAAGGATTCCAGCAAAAATCATTAGCGTACACGCCTTCCATGGAAAGCAGATGTTAAAATACGGATTGCAAACTAAAATCATAAATGGGGTTAATCGTTGTCTGCACCATATATCGTTGCTTCGTAATAGACATGAAAACGCGAGTTCATCGGCAGTGTATATTAGGTATTTGCACCTACAAGCAACTTCGCCATAGAAAACCAATAGGGAGTACTGCTTGTTTTCCTATACCCCTGGTCACCTGGTTTTGCAGAGCAGGCGACTTGGATTGACGGTTAAGATCAGGATTCGAACACCCTTACATACCTTGTTTTTCGTTATAATCCAAATCGCCTGTCAATTTTACCGTGTTCTGTTCTGTTCTTCAGACGAATTGTGCTTTCTACTTTACAGACAGCCACGTTCGAGAGAATAGCACAACCGCTTTTTAATCGAAATACCGAAATTCACCAAACGCCTATTTGATTTTCAGTGGGAATATTTTCTTACAACAACGCCCATACGGCCAGACGACTAAGATTTCTTTCAAAGTTTCTTTGCAGTAAGCCAACCAAACACTTTCTAGTCTTGTCCTCAATTTACAGCACGCTATCTGTTATAATCATTTGCAAATAGCAAGCATTCCATCCCTGTTTACGCGTCCCACACTAACGATGGGCGGGTGCAGGGGTCCAGTGATCCACTGGTTCACCGTTCACACTGCTTGTCACCAAGCTTCATTGTCCAACACCCGTCTACCTCGAGATTATTCACCTTCAACTCAGAAGACTCTGGCTTTACGGTAGGACAGGCCTGAGAATTGTCGGGCGTCCAAGCAATTTCGGCAGTATATGCCCCGCATACCACAACATACTGCTGGAACGCTACTCTTGTGACTGAGTGCAGGCAACATCGTGGACTGCACTCATATTGTTGCTCTAGGCAGTAGAACACAAGATGTTTCACAAACCACAACTTGGGGTGTTCTAGGCACCGAGTCCTTATTTTACCCGGACCCGGTCACTAGTCCACCGTCGATCAGTTATAGTGACATTTCATATTCCCAATAGCTTATCTTTGCAGGAAAAGATATTACGCGCATTCTCCGTCGTCCCTCCTTGCTGCTATTACGACTTAGCCGTCTTCGCCTTTGTAATTGGTTGTCTGTTCGTGACCTTTGTCACTCATACGGAGCTTGTTAGCTTCGCGAAGCCAATAGATCGATGTGCGCCCATTCCTGATTGAGCAACTACTCGATCTTCAGCGACAGAGAATGATAGGTGGCGAGGCAATGATGCGCTTCGTTTCGAAGAAGTGCCTATGACCCATCTGGTAGACCCCAGTGGTGGACCAACTGCGCCAGGTGCGTCTGTGCGTATGTTTTTGTTCCTGGTCCCAGCTGCTGGTCAGGATTATGATTGGCTGAATGAGGGCAAAATAAGTCCGAAGCAGTGCTGTATCAATCCACCCGCATTCTCTGTCGTCCCTGCTCGCTGCTATTAGGGCTTGACTTTTATGACTTTACTTATAAATATGGACGTGAGGGGTGCCTCAAAGAAGCATAAAAAGACGGTCACTTTTAGAGGGAGGCTGTTTGGTCCGATCGACTATCAGCCTTCAAAGATGTGATTTCGAGTGCACTTCGACAAATTACTGTGGGTCAAATTTATTTCGATAGGAAAATCCACCCAGAGATGTTACCCCAGTTTCGATCGCGCCTTTTGCCATTCTCTTATGCAACAACGATCTTTGAAGCTTGTTGGCTAACTAGTCATGTTAGTGGGTGTATAGGCTAGTGTGTTGAATAGATTCCGTTAGAAGCATGCCACGTTTGCACTCACGATCTTGTATGATAGTTTGTCCGGGGTCATCGAAGTTGATAAACACCACTAGGTAGGGCTTATAAGGGGCATATGAATGGCTGTAATGTGCGCGTTTATGAGGGGAATATTCTTGCGACAACTGGGTGCGCAAGAACGGTGTGGGTGTTAGGTTAAGGATTATTTCCGTATGTGCACATGAGACAGGTCCATGCGGTGGGTTTGCGCGCGGATGTAGACTGGAAAAGTGAGATGTGAGCGACGGTTGTTGGTTCGGTTTCTAGAAACAGGTTTCCCAACCGCTGGCAGATGACAGACCAGATCGATGCGTAACCTGAACGCGCTGTGGAGAAGTCGGCACTGGGCTCACGCCTCTGTTATGCGGGCTTTCAGGTTGATGCCCAAAAAACACTTTAGTGACTGCAGAATGAGCACCAGAGGTGCTAAACTTTGATAAATTTTTCAGGCGACTGCTCCATGGATTAATGATTTAAGGATAGTAAAG